AACATCGATGGGAAGGTGGTGTGGGATTGGAAGTGAGGGGAAGCTACCCCCCCCCCCCCCCTCTCTTTTCATTTTATTAGTCGTTTTTTTTTCAACAGCTACAACAATAAATTATTGAAAATTATTTTTTTAATACATTTACCACTCTATAAATACCAAATAAACCTAACATAATTTTCACACTTATTTCTACATATTCTCTAAACAAACCCCACTCAACCACAATGTTGTCATCGTCATCTTCGTCCTCCGATTCGATGGCACAATAAGATACATTATTTTCCGGTTTCATGATGGCAAAAACAGTGACGTATTTCCGAAACCGACAATGTCAAAGTTCAGGTTCACGAACTCAGATAAGAAGACCTCCGTTGAGGAGAAATTGCAATGCCGGACATAATCGTCTTAAAGAAAACTATTTTACAGATGACGTCGTGCACGCTGACAAGTTTCGACAGCGGTTTCGGATGAGGAAAAAGTTATTTCTATGTATTATTGGCGATTTGGAAAGCCGATTTCCATATTTCCAATGGAAGCGGGATGCGAGACGTAAAAAAAGGGTTTTCTCCAATTCAAAAATGCACAACCGCAATTCGTCACTTAGCATACATCATGAGAGCAGATAAATAGGACGGGTATTTGAGGACACCTAAGTGTACCATACAGGATAGTGCATATAAGTTCGTGAAGGCTATTACTTTGGTTTACGGGCAATGATATTTTCTCAAACCAACCAATAACGATGTCCACCAATTGTACACGATGCATAAAAATAAGCATGGATTCCCGGGTATGGTAGGTAGTATCATTTGCATGCACTGGTCTTAGACATCAATCCGTCTTAGACATCAATCCGCTAGACCAATCTTCAGTATTCAACGACATCTACCTTGAAAAGTTGCACGATGTACCGTTTGAAGCAAATGGGGTAGCACAGAAGTGCATGTACTAGCTTACTGAAGGGATATATCCTACCTTATCTGTTTCTTGTGAAATTGTTCACATATCCGAACGTAGAGCGAGCATTTGGTGTACTCAAGAGGCATTGGCAAGTTGTATAAGCCGGGACACAGTCATATGAAGTGAAAAGGTTGCAACACATAATGTACACATACATCATATTATATGATATGATTTTAGAAGATGAAGGAAGAACGATATGCCAGTAAGACGAAAACAAAGTTTTGCCAAACGTCGCAGGAGTAGCTATTGGTACGCAAGGGTATAGGAAAAATAGAAAAGAAGTACATGATTGCGACATTCATCATTCCCTTCGTGCGGATTTGGTGGAACACATTTATAGAGCTCGCGTACAGCCGCAGACAGAGTATTTACAAGATGATTTGTTTGACGAATCAGATGAAGATTCAGATATTTTTGTCGAGGACTCGGGCGAGGATTCAAATGATGATGACGATGTCAAGGACGACGATTCGGAGTGACATATTTTTTTTTCAAATTCGGATATTATGTAACTTTTAGTAATGTTTTAGAGGTCGTTTTTTTAATCTAGGATGTGTTGTTGTTGTTGTTGTTTTTTTTTTAATCTTGGTTCTTTTCTATGTGTTTTTTTAATATTGGTTGTTTTTTATGTACCTTTTTCTTTAAGTAATGAAGTATTTTTTTATTTTAATTAATTTTTACGTTTATTAATCATTTTTAAGGAATTATATTTGTTTTTTTAATTATAAGCTTAAAATAAAATTATTTTTATTTTAAAAAAAAAGTGAAAGTTAATGATATATGACAATTTCCAGCCTTTTGTTGATTGAAATGTAAGTGAGTGGAAAGCTGACGTAACACTAAAAAAATAAGCGGTGAAAGATGGATACACCCTCCTGTCTTAGGACCCGTTTGATAGTTGTTGTCTGGAAATGTGATGTATGCGAATAAAGTGTTGTTTGAGAAAGTTTATTGGGAAAGAAACCATGCTATATATTTGATTGTACATCTGACTGACTGTACTGAATGATGAAAAATGATCATTCAGTCAGAAAGATATAATTTTGGGGATTTCTGAAAAATACATATCTTATCAGGAAAGATCTATTTTTTGTACAAATCAAATAGTATTTTCGGCCCATTCGATCAGAAAAATATGTTTGAAGCTAGAAATATGTCTATCAAACGGAACCTTTCATTAATTTCTAGAAAAATATATAGAGAGACATTTAAATTAGTGAACTTATATGTTTTAACTTTATTTTTGCTATATTGAAAAGCAAGTCCTCCCTGTTTATTTAAAGTGTTAACTTTTAAATGTTATGAAAAAATCTTAACCGCTTATTAAACCTTATTTTTCTACAAGTTCTTTAAATTATATCTTAAAGTTTAGACCGATGAATAAGTTTCTATGACCACTTTGAGAACTTAAAATGAAAATAAATTGAAGGGTTAGAATTGAGAAATCAAAAAGCAAAGTTTAAAGTTTAGGTTGGGAATGAGCGATGGTATAGGGCCATGAACACCTGTAAGCGATTGTGTATGTCCACTCGATATTAACAAAGATTTTGAGCTTCTTGCTTTCTACTAATTATAACTTTAAAGTAAAGAAACACGGTTGTGTATATTGATGGGCCCACCACTATCAACACATCTTGCCCTATATAAACCCTTCACTTGACTCTTTTATATGCACCACCCATCAGGACAAAGAGGTTTAAAGAGAGACAACAAAAGTAGAGAGAAAGAGAGAATTCAAAGTTCTCTGAATCTCTTTGTCTGTGTTGAGTGTGTGTGGAAACTTAGAAGAGAAGATGACTGGAGACAGCTTTGCTCATCTTACACTTGCATTTGGCCTTCTTGGTCTCTCTCTTTTTCTTTCTCTCTCTCTCTCTCTCTCTCTCTCTCTATATATATATATATATATATATATATATATATATATATATATATTCATGAAAATGTCGTAACAAAAATACAAAAATGTATTTTCCTTACTTTTCTCACAAAAGAAATTGTGATGGATTCTTGAAGTTTTGAAGTTTTGTGACCATTGATTGATGCACTTTTGCTGAAATATAACTAAAAAGCTTTAAGTTATCATATAGCTCTTTATTGAAACAGTAGATTATCTCCTAGCATTTTGCTACTTCTATACAAATATGTCTTTCTTACTCTCTCTGATGAATGAGAATATAACATTACCTTGGATCTTATAATAAACATACAAAAATATATGGTCGATTGGTGAAATTTTGTGACCGCTGTTAGTAAATAATGGTTAAACTTTAGGTTATTATGTGGTTTTTAATTAAGTCTTCTTTTCTAACATCATGCTTCTTAAATATGTTGCAGGCAATGTTGTGTCATTCATGGTGTTTCTTTCCCCATTGTCAGTCTCTTTGTTTACTATACAATCTTTTTATAATAAATACGTTTAAGTTGTGTTTTTACTGACTATCTTTTTTAATTATTTCACAGGCCAACGTTTTATAAAGTTTACAAAAAGAAATCAACAGAAGGGTTTCAATCAGTGCCTTATGTCGTGGGGTTATTTAGCGCCATGCTTTGGATATATTACGCATTGCTTAAGGCAAATGCGATGCTTCTCATCACCATAAACTCCGTTGGTTGCGTCATTCAAACCTTCTACATTTGCTTCTTTCTCTTTTACGCACCAAAGAAGGCCAGAGTATGTGATAGTGGCCTTTACTTTAATAAAAATTTAGCTATTAGTTAATTCATGAAAAGATCGATATATAACGCAAATATTTTTTCAATGCAGATCGAAAGCCTAAAGTTAATCATGTTGATGATAGTTGTTGGCTTCGGATTGATTGTTGTCCTAACTCGGTTTCTTGCTAATGGGACCACTCGTGTCGCAATAGTTGGATGGATTTGTCTCGTGTTCGCCTTGTGTGTTTTCGTGGCACCATTGGGGGTTTTGGTGCGTATATACGTATAAACATTAACATATGCATACAAATTTAATGAATAGCAATGATGAATAGTGATTATAAGTGATATATGTTCAATAAAATTATCTAATGAATTGTTGCTAACTTTTATGTAGAGACAAGTAATTAAGACAAAAAGCGTGGAGTATATGCCCATTCTACTATCGGCGGCCCTCACCCTCAATGCCATCACATGGTTCTTTTATGGTCTACTTCTTCGCGACTTCAACATCGCGGTATGAAAATTCTTAAAAAAACGTATTACTTTCTATGAAAAATATTTTCTAATTAACGTTTTTCTACGTATTACAGATTCCGAACGTACTTGGAATCACGTTTGGTGTTCTTCAAATGATCCTTTACTTTGTATACAAAAACAAGAAACCAGTAAGCGATGAAAAAGTATCAGAATTAGAAGTAAAGAGCGTCGAAACAGCGGAACCGAAAATCTCAGGAAAGAAAGATCAAGAAATCATTGACGTTGCGAAGCTAAGCGCTTTAATTAGTGCGATTCCTGTTGTTACCAAAATAAACGATAACACCAATGATGTTGATCACGATCATTTGGTTGTTGAACCTCATGTCCCTAACCATACCATTGAAGTCGCAGCATGAACTCAATATATACGGTTTATGTCCAAACCGATGCGTTCATGGTTTTGATCGTGCATATGTGAAGCTTACCATGCAGATCGATAAATTTGTGCTTTTTACTGATTAGTTCTTCTCATTCCACGTTTAGTAGAAAATCATCCAACTTTAGGTTGCTAACCTCATGTTATATTGTTTCTGTACCGAAATGATGATTATCAGAATAAATGAAGCTGTTTAGGTTCAATAATTTGGTTTGGTAATTCGAAAGCGATTGACATTTCCGATCATAGTATTTGAGTTTTTGTTGCAAATATATCTCCTTTCCCCGGTAATAGGAGAATTACACTACATCTGACAAAACGAGCAACTTTAGAGTACAATATGTACCAATTTTCCGCAGTGGGTATCGATCTGTACTGTTCCTAGCTTTTTGCTATAATCTAATTGAATTTGGGTATTTAAAAACAACTAAGATCTTATTTGAAGTTCAAACAATTTATTTTCCCAGGAAAAGAATAAAACAGGTATATATAATTATGAACCCAAAAACTTACTGTCTATGATATTTAATGTTTATTGCTTAAGTTTTTGCAACTGTTAAATATAACATAGTCAAATTACAATAACAATATTAACTTATGTTTACCCAAAAAATATTGATGTGATTGTACATAAACAATATTTTGAAATAAAACTTGTTATAATTTATACAACAAAATCTTCGAGCCGAATTGATTTTAAATTATTTTTCCAAGCTATATAATATTACGCGCTTTCTAGCTTTTGAAAAATAATTGAAACAGTGCACATATGTTTGAGAACCAAAAAAACTTTTTTTCTTTAGAACAAAAAAGCTTTTATTGTCGATAATAACTTTTAATCAAAACAGCACAGTTGTGTACATGCGAAGTGCAAACGTCGAGAACATCCTAAAAGATAACGTATTTTTAATGTACATATACACACATTTTTCGTCAACATTCATGCATATTGGCGCATTAATATTAATATATATATACATTTTTCTTTTTAATTTTTTTCCAAATGATTCTTTAAAACCCTTGTCACCACAAGAATTCCGGGCTACATCGGTGACAATAGTCGCCGGTAAAGAGTAAGCTAATTGTTGAAAAATGCAATAACGGCGACACGTCGTAGGTAAAAGTTGTCGCTACTGCTCTGTCGCTATTGATCAGATTGTCGCCGCTAAAGAGATTTGTCACCGCTAATGATATAGTCACCGGTAATACTTAGTGTCTCCGCTAATGGTGTAGTCGTTGGTAATAATATTTTTCATTATTTTATTTTTTTTAATCAACGATTTTGGGTATAAAAAAATGATACATAACAACGTTAAAAAAAGAAAAAAAAATTACATAACAACATTTGATTAAATACCAAATATTGTTATAATTAATTCCATACCAAAATAAAACAACCAAAAGTTTTACAATTCTAACAAATAGCAAAGTAAGTTTTACAATTCTAACAAGTAGCAAAACGTGACAACAAATGTAACATACAAATAAAACTTCTCCTTACATATCATCATCTTCGTTCCCATCGTTTCCTCTTTGATTATTCTATGATTGAAAAAACGAATAAAGCTCCTTCCTACATGTCGGGTTGTTGAGCATTGCCCGAAGATTTTTCAACTACATAATAAATAACAACATATATAAATTTATAAGTTAATTTATCAAACATAAACAGAAACTACCAAAATACATTCATATTTCCTGCACTTAAATACAAGATATACCAAAAGTACATTGCTATTTCTTGCACTTGGGAAAAAAACATAATTACCAAATCAACATGCATTTATGATGCCAAAGTACATTGCTATTTTTAAACTAGAGACATAAAACCAAAGTACATTGCTATTTCTTGCACTTGGGAAAAAAACCCAATTAACAAAGTTTTTAGCAAATAATCACCACAAACCAAAATTACCAAATTAACATGCATTTTATGATGCCGAAGTACATTGTTATTTTTAAACTAGAGACAAAAAACCAAAGTACATTGTTATTTCTTGCACTTGGAACAAAAGCACAATTAACAAAGCTTTTAGCAAATAATAACCACAAACCAAAATTACCTAATCAACATGCATTTTATGATGCGAAAGTACATTGCTATTTTTAAACTAGAGACAAAAAACCAAAGTACATTGCTATTTCTTGCACTTGAGACAAAATCCCAATTAACAAAGCTTTTAGAAAATAATCACCACAAACCAAAATTACCAAATCAACATGCATTTTATGATGTTGAAGTACATTGCTATTTTTAAACTAGAAACAAAAAACCAAAGTACATCGTTATTTCTTGCACTTGGGACAAAAGCACAATTAACAAAGCTTTTAGCAAATAATCACCACAAACCAAAATTAACAAATCAATATGCATTTTATGATGCCAAAGTACATTGCAATATTTAAATTAGAGACAAAAAACCAAAGTACATTGCTATTTCTTGCACTTGGGACAAAAGCACAATTAGCAAATCAACATGCATTTATTGATAACAATTACCAAAGCTTTTAGAAAATAATCACCACAAATAAAAATTACCAAATCAACATGCATTTATTGATATTAAATAATCTTGTTTTACCTGTAATGCCTGTGATGGTTGTTAAATCGGCGGGATATCAGAAGGTTTCCGGATGATGCCTCTGATATGGCCACGTCGTTCTCCTAATACTTTCTCGAAATCAACTCTTTCTTGAGCGGGTGTTAATTCTTTTTCACCTTCTAGCCCTTGCGTTTGTTCTAAGAGCTCTTCCACTAACCGATTATGTATTTCCCAAAAGTGATTAATAATTAAGTATAAATAAACACTTAATTATATGATAAAATTATAATTAAATGCTTACGTATTGTTGTTCCGCCTCGACAGTAACAAATAAACCATCCCTATCGGTATGAGCCTTGCGAAACGTTTCCACTCTCTTAAGGTTACGTTTAACATTAAAAAGTAGATTATATTTTAAATAAATAATTACATGTATCGTATGTTACCTTCTGATAGCAAGTACTGCTATACGAGCTCGACCCCCCACGATTCACGTTCGTTTGCATTTGACGGACTTTTTTGTTCCTTGCTGAAGCAATTCTGTGTTCGTCCGTTTGGAAATATTCAATTGTTTTCTTCCAATTATCAACATCCATACAATCTAGAGGGTTGGCTATTGCTCTCGGGATATCCTGATACGCTCCGACTTCCATAAACTATTCTTTTGCATTAGCTTTACGCTCTCGATAACCTTTTAACAAAGCTACTTGAAAACTCTCTGTCAACAGATGAGCTTCTGGATCACGGTACATCTGATCCAAATAAAACTTTGTCTACAAAAAAAAAGTTAACCAAATAAAAACCAGTCATAATTAACCATATAAAATATTTTTATATAAATAATTTACCCCTAGATGTTGTATGACTGTATCCTTTATTGCAGGAGAAACTTTTTTCTAAGTCCATTTATCAAAAGGGACCATCTGGCACATTATTTTTCCAACTTCTCGTGCAAACATGTCCTTTGGCTGTGACAACCTGAAATATTTTGCTTTATAAGTCAAGCCAATCAACCTTAAGTCATACTCACTCCTGCTATCATTTAGCACTGTTTAGAGTCTGTTTGAGTGTTCTGAGCCCAATACATTCAAGGAATGAGTGTTAGGAAGTATCTGCTAGAGCCACTGTACAAAGATCAAGCCATAAACTCATTCAAGAGGAGTTTACGGCCAAGACACCAAGAGTTTACGGCCGTAAACTCAAGGTGGCCGTAAACTCAAGGTGACCGTAAACTCACCCCTATATAAGTAACACTTAGCCATTTTTCTCATTCTTTTCCTTCCTTGGCCGAAATCTCTTCAAACTCTCTCAAGTATCATCGAGTTCTTCATCCTAGATCTTCAAAACGTAAGTGTTTCTTCCATCTATTTGTTGATACATCTCCTTAACTAGTATCACCCTTTGATTTCATCCATGGATTTCATCTTTTGAGCCTAGATCTTCAAGATCCCCAAGAACACCAAGAACACCAAGAACACACACTAGTTCTTTGGCCCGAAATCAACCCTTTCAAGCTTCCATATCGTAAGTATCCTTTCAATATACTTCATATCTATTAGGAAGCGTTGATTTACACCCTTGAAACATGCATTTCACCAAGAACATCAAGAGTTTACGACCCAAGACTCTTCATGGCCGTAAACTCCATATTGTTGCATGTATTGACCTTAAACTCCTCTGAAGTCCAAGCCTTAGACCTTGAACCCTTAATGGATGTTGTAGGACCTTAAACCACACACTTATGCATGTTTGACCATGAGTTTATGTTGGATTAGATGTCTAAGCCCATAACTATTATTGGTATGTACTTGACCCGAGAGTAGCATGGTCCATTTGGGTTGCATATCATCAGGAGAATTTATTAGGATGGACTTTTGAGAGAAGGTTATTTATGGTTTATTAATATATTATAAGTTATAATATATTAATA